GCATCTTGGGAAGGTAACTTTTGTCATGGCCATCATACATAGGACCCAAGGCTGAAACTGCATCATGAGGACGGAGTGACGAGGACAATTGGCTGATAAGACAATCATCCACAAGTTTCTTCACCGTATTCACATCTTTGCTGCATGGAACATGCATACATGATTTAGTAATGACAATGATGATATCCTTCAATTATATAACTATCAGAACAAAGCAAGGGAAAATCTGCCAACAGTGCAGTGCGCATAGCACAATCCATGCAGACTAGTAATAGATGATGTATTACTATTACCTATCGAGAAAGAGAAAATTCAATAGGTATAGGTGATGTATACACAAATGACATACAGAATGTTGTGCTGTAAAACAAATTCAAGGGATGGTAACAACACTTGCCACTAAAGGGTCATAATCAACCAAAATCTTCATGATCAAAGCATTTTTCAAATTATTTAAACTATAATGTAGCACAAAGTAGCACTTCCTATTTCAAGGCAGGCTAGGCATTAGTAGATTAAACAACCATAGCCAACTTAATATTTTTCTCAGCGAAGAAATACAATGACTAATGAAGCAAAGATTAAGCATGACATGTATACATGGTGCATCCAGATGTATTTAAAAAGCCGCAACAAAGAAAGATAGTACTCTTATCAAAATCTAAATAGATTTTTATTTGGGGATTATATCAAAGTATTAGAAGCAAAAAAAGGAAGTGGTCAGAGATTCTTCAATGGAAAAAATGAACAAACACTAAAAAATAAATGACACTGGAGATTTTGATCAGAAACTTGGTAGCTTATTAAAAAAGGTGGTGGTAGCTAATCTAGGAAAGATAAGTTTAAGAAGATTTCCTCCACAAGTGTATGACCAATATGGGCGTGGCTTGGGTAAATTGCCCTGTGATGCAACTGAGAAGTATGACAAAGATGCATCTAGCAAGGATTCCCAGCAAACATTGTCCAGATAATTTCACATTGTAATATATTTTCCTATCCTCTTCTATAATGTATTAGACAGAATAAGCCATTAGGCCTCTCTAGCTTGAATAAGTGTTCCCCTTGGGCAATACTCTAGTATGTTCTCCTGGCACAGTGAGAAATTTGTGCAGCGGGTCAAGAATAATAAGTTGATATTGCGCCTGAAAATAAGCAGGAAAGGGTGCCTTCTGAAAAACTCCGAGTCATCTGAACCAATACAGTAAGCCCCACGGAATTGGGCTCAAACAAAGCTCATGAGAAAATTTACAATTGTCCCCCTGCCTTCTTCATATTGTTTGCAGTTCCAAGACATCTGATGAAATCACAGTAATCACCACAAGGTCGTTATTTAAAACAATCTTGGAAAATATACATGAACCCTTAAAGATCCATTAGGCAATTATCTTCTTCAATTGTCGTAATGCATGCAGTTGAATCTGACGAGAATAAATTTGCCATGTCTCCTTCTGCATTTCCCTGTTTTGACATCTTATCATCCAATAACAATACAACAGGAAATACAAACAGAATTCCATATCTGGCCCGTAAATATTGGTTCATTATCATTTATTTATTTTTTTTATCTCTCTCTTCTCTTGAAAGAAACTGGACAATAGCAAAACCATCAAGTATTCCACCACTGCAACATAATTAAGAATTGAGCAGTTCTAAATGTCTGCCTCACTTTTCCAGATTTGTGATTTGAGCAAAACGAACCAAATTCAAAACAGCCAAAGGTCTCTAGCTAACTGAGCTCATTTAGAATATCCACTCCAACCCACCCACCAACCCCCCTCTCTCAAACCGAAGAACCTTCCTCCTCCCTTCTTTTGATTGTTAACACCCCCCCCCCCTTTTTCTTTCTTTTCCCCAACTTCCCAACCATTCTATTTTAACAGACCCATTAATTTAATCAAGATTGTAGCTCCCACAAAGCGAAAAGTACAGAATGTGCATCAAGTGGGGACTATTCGGGAAAAAGCTAACAGGTTATCCATGCTTTGGAATAGTACTCATTATCTTACAGCACATGGATATTGTTTGGACCCTGCTGTAAACGATACTAAGTCGAATCAGAGCCAAAATACACGAGAAATAAACATATATAAGGATGATTTATTAAATGAAATACCAAGCAATATTTCTCAAAGTCAGTGTACTCCTAAATTCATCATCGCAATCTGCATCTATATGTGGCTGGAGATTCAGTATTTCCAACTAGTGTATCAAACAAGGAAAAAGGCTATCAACACCACACATGATTTTCATCTGGCCCAAAAGTCATATCAAGAGAAAATATATGATTCCAATTATATAAAAACAGGTCAAACAATATAAAATAAACATGGTCACCAGACACACACACACACACACACAGAACTAACCTTAAAGCCTGCATTATACTCTTTTGCTCAATGAGATATCGCTGGTGGTCCTTAATTGTTGCTTCCAACTCCCTAATGTGAAATGCAGCTTTGCTAGAAAACAAATTTTCAACTTTGCACTTTAGCTCTCCAAACTCGTGCTTGAATTCTGAAACCTTATTCTCAAACTGCACGTGGGAACTGCTACAATCCTCCACCAACTTCTGCAAGTTCTCTTCCTTCACAAAATCTAGTAAACACTTGCGATTAGAGGTTTGTAAAGCTGGTAGAAGTTTGCAAGATCTCAATTTCTCTATAACCTTCGCAAAATTCACCAGAAGATTAGAATGGCTCTGGTGCTGCTGCGAATAACACTTCACAAAATTCATGTAATTTTGGAGGATCATTCTGTAGTAATGATCTAAATTACCGCCAGCAATCTCCAATGCCCTCTCTTGCACCTTCAGCTCCCTCAAAATCCTGTCACAAGCCTCATATCTCACTTGAGTACGATTGTAAATCACGTGTCCACGCTGATAGTGGTATCTAAATTGCCTCTCATAAGAAGGCAAGGCCTTCAGAGCAGGGTCCAAAGCATCATCAAGTGGATGGGGACTGTGTGAGGGGGATGGTGATGGAGGATCCTGAATTTCAATGATTTCAGCTTGCTCTGGTGCAGGTCGTTGTGAATTACTCCGCATTCTTGCTTTATTAAATAAGAACACTTCTTGGTCTTCAGATGGGAGTTTATAAGCCGAAAGGGGCCTTTGGGACTCCAACTTCATGTCCAAGCACAAAAGCAGCTGGTCATTCAACTGAATCCCTGACGCTGACTCTAGGAACCGTTGGACAGCCTCAACAAGAGTGTATTCATCACAGTCAAGTTCAAATGAGTGTCCATTCTCAGCAATATGAACCAATAGCTTGCCAATTTGAACAACACCTTCTGATACACTTGACATCTTATGCCCTACAAAATCAATAACTCCCCACCACAAAAACAAAATCCCCGGAATCAAACACCACCACCAACACCTTGCAAACAGAAGAAAAATTCAAGCCCAAGCCCTCAAAATCAACCAATAATGCCTTCAACTCAGGTCAAAACTTGGCAAAACAATCCAATCCAGCTATAAAAACAAAGAAACCAATTCACTCCTCCTCAGAATTACCCTCCTATAAGTGAAAATTCCCCAAATTGTTGGCCTTGAGCCTTGATAAACCCCCCCACTTATGTTCGACACCCTATTAAAATCTGCGGAACTGCCCAAATCCCAACAGACCCAGAAAAAATTTCACATGTACAAACCAATTTCACATATCAATCCTTTCCAAAGCCCTAATTATCACCGACCCTCCTCCGAAAACTCCAAAAATAGCTCCCTTTTCAACACACCCACCTGATAGCTCACGAATAGAACCCTAATTATCACCGACCCGCCTCAGAAATCTCAAAAACAGCCCTGTTTTCAACTCACCCACATAATATTTCACGAATAGAATTATCACCGACCCACCACAGAATTCTGCAAAAAAAAAAAAGCCGAGATTTCAACACACCCACCAATTAATTCGTCCAAAAGACGCAAACTTCATCGCTACCGAACGTTAATTCCACAAAAATCAATCAGTTCCTGAAACCAATTTACATAAAACCCAAATGCAAAATATGAAGGGAAAAAAAAACAACAGCACACGAAAACAGATAATCGGAAAAGGGTTCAAAGAAAATCAAACAAGAATATTTCAATGAATCAATTAGGTGAACAGGGAGAGGGATTTACTTGGGGCAAGCTGAGAGAAGGTTTAACACGAAACGCTTTGTGTTTTTGTTATTCTATGTGGTTTTTGTGTTTCTTCTTGGTCGTTGATGAAGGATTAATTTATTATATTGTACGAGAGAACCTTGTGAAGGAAGTAACCACCAGAAAGGCAGAAGAAGAAGTTGCTCTGTTCTTCCTCTTCCGCAACCAAAACCTTGGAAGAACAGAAAAGCCTAAGCTGCTTCACAATTATATCCCTCATTCTCTATGTCATATAGTTTTTTTTTTTTTCTTTTTTTTTTTCTAATGGTATATATCTATATAATAAAACATGAGTATTTTTGAATTTTATCTCAGTCATATTTTATCTCTTAAAACCATCATCAATCACTTACCTCACCTATCATTCTTTGTCAGACTCAAACATCAAATCACATCACCCATTTTTATCACATATTTAATCATTTATATATTTCCTCCCTAAAAATATCACACCACTCACTTTTGTCATATATTCAATCATTTAATATTTAATTAATTTATAGTTAATATATTTTTAAAAAAATTAATATAGTGAAATCAATTTTTTTGACGCTCTTTTTTTATATTTTATCGTACCTTCAGACATTGGTTATGACTAGTATATATATATCTTAGATATATAGCTTTAGAAAGTGTAAAAAATATCGAACTTATAATTTCTTACTTATAAGAAGACAATCTTGATTCAATGATTATATAAAAATATGCCATTGAATTAATAAATTAAATTTAAATTTTAAATTTAAATAACATTACTTTAAAATAAAAAAAATAGATGTAGCAGTAGTTTGTTGAAAACCCATAATCTTTATTTAATCCAGGATATGTGATGTATATGTCATTTCAAAGTGATCTATTAATCTACTAATAAGTAGTTTCATGGCATCCTAGTACCACCAAATTATTAAAAATATCTCACCACTCATATAGTTTTTATTAATTTATATTCCTACTTGTTTCATGATTGGGATTCGTAATAAACATTAGCTTTACCTTTGTGGTTTTGGGATTTGAAATAACAATAGCCTCCCCAATCTCTTTGGATGGCTATAAGCCTGGCTGCAGGAATCCTTGATCCTCTCAATTATAAATAGGGTTTGTTAATGGTTTGTGGCATGTCTAAGCTATGTTGTATTAAAATTTATTTAATTTATATTCAATTTATTATAATTGTGTATAATTTGATACAAATTGATTTATATTGTATATAGATTATATATTAATCATGTTTAGTGCCTTCATCACGTGACTAATTGAGTCCAAGTCAACCTATTTATTTGACAAATTCACCCTTCAAAATTTTATGCGAGGAAAAGAATCCTAGGTCAAGGCAGTAACACGGTACAGGATCATTCCCTTGTTCTTGGTGCTTATTGTGAAATGACATAGTCAAGAGATCGTAGGATACTGGCAAAAGAAGAAGGTGGATACTACTTTGATTATGATTCAGAAAATAAGATATGTTCGCCAATTGTATTTACAATTGCTAGGCTTAATTACAAATCTTGTCAACTTATGCCAAGAGAGCAATACTATTGGGACAAAAATTTAGAAACATAAAGATTGTAGTCATTAGATCGTCAGTAAATACAAGCATTAAATACATTCTACTATTAATCCAATTGTCACAATAGATTATGTCCTAATAGTATTAGTAAAATTAAAATTAAATAGATCGAAAGTCTTGAGAGGGTATTTTTGTTTTTCTACACTATAAAATTTGGCAAAATCTAAAGGATTGTTTCAAGTATAAAAGTAATTTTTTTTTTTTTGTGTATGATGTATATAAGAAATCTGTGTTTTAAGTGAATAATAAGTTTGAGAAATGTGTTTTTAGTATAGACACTAATAGATATTTAACGATGATCAAATTTAAGTGAGTACTCGCTAAATTAAACTTACAAAACTCATAATTCATCTAAAAACTTTACCTTTCTTTTTGATTGTAACATAGAGACCCTTTTTCCCTCCCTTCATCTCTTGTTTTTTCTACCTTTCTTTCCCGGTCTGCCCACTGAACATAGAGGGTATTATAGCTTCCACTGAGGAGTCTTACGCCAAGGCCTTCACGTCATTGTGCTTATGCATACAAAGTGACGTATGCAAGTCAATAATTACCATGGACACTTGTCCATTTCTTCTTCTTCTTTGTTTTTTTTTTTTTTGACAAGACATTAGGATAGACACTTTTTTTTATTTTTAGTTATATATATTTAAATTGTTATTTTTCAATTGACATAAAACACATTATAGTAATTTGACTCCATTTTATACAAATTATAGTTAGCACTTTAAGGAACGTAATAATTATTAATTTTATACGGGTTGTTACAATGACCCACTTCACCATGGTTAACCATGACAATTAAAAACTCTATGTTCATCTTGAAATAATCTTATTGTAAAAGTGTTCCAAATTTTCTATTTTCTTGATGTGTTAAAGTATCCAATTGTAAACTAAACGACAACTATTGGAGAGACCCACCAGACCTATATACTAGCTCTAGTCAAGAAGTGTTGTTGTACCAACGCAGGACATGATTGATAAGAAACAATTCAATGAGACTGAGTCTCTCAAACAACCATTCTATCCCATATTAAAACAATCAACTTATAATTTTGTCATTCACCAATTTTTTGATTTGGATAATTCTGCTTTGCCCACCCAAAGTTTTTATCAATTGTACTTTGTTCCATTAGTAATTCCACTTAATTTTTTGTAAATTTGTTATAATACACCCACCAATTAATTGAATTTTCCGCCTATAAATTCATTTGCTTACTCTAAGGATCAACATTATTTATCCCTAGAAATAAATGTATCATTTCAAAAAATTTGTCTAGACAAGATATGTCTTATTTGAAAAATGAAAGATCTTCCGCCCATTAAGAGTACCTTTATGAATAAATATAGGGTAGATATTTTAACGTTCACTCGGATTAACGAGAAACGAATCAAAGATTGAATTGAGATTTTAATACTTCAAGATAATTTTAAATGTTTTGGTATATTTTCACCAATAATTTGAAATATTTCAATATATTTATGTATATTTCGAACAATATTTTGAAAAATTTTGTAAAATGCATTCCCTAATTTTGTATCCATTACATTCTATGTTTAAAACGTTTCTATTTTTTAAGTGATTGAAAAAAAATAATTTTGATCCTTGACTTACCCATGCAAAAACTTAAGTCGGGCTAAACTCGACTCCTGAAGCTTTCTATTTTTATTAAATTTATTAGCCACATGCTTTGATTAAATAAGCTAAATTCATTTCGAATTATCTTGTCAAATTAGTTTCTATGCTAAACTCTATTTTCTTTGGGTTAATAACATTTTGCATCCTAAAGTTTCTCACTAGTTGCACTATATCGCCTACAAGGAGATTTGTCTCATTAACTCAAATTACACTAACTCATTCAACTATGATCTCAGTCTCACATTGTTCTTTCCACTGTTGACTTTCTCACATTATCCTCTCAACAACTTGAATTGATCTCATATGAACTAAAGTCTCGTCTATCATATCTTTAGATAGGAAATGTCCAATGGTACATTTAGCAAAACACACATTTTCATTGTCTGCAATATGAAGTTAATAACCATAGTTGAATGTATAATGTGAGAAACATGACATTTTATAGGAAAATATGAGACCAATAGACATAGATGTATGTGCAATGTAAGAAATGTACTAGTTGGAGGGACAATGTAAAATAAGAGACAAAGTTGAGATCAAAGTATAAATTGCCCCTAGCCCTATTGTGTAAAATTGGGATAAGTTTTATTTTGACACCTTCAACCATGGTCTCGATCTCATTTTCCCCCTCAATTATTGTGTTTCTCACGTTGTCTCTCAACTATTTTTGACTTCACATTATCCCAAAATCAAATATTTTTTATGTTTTTTATAGGAAATATTCTTGCATGTAGTCAAACACACATTTTCAATCATGAAATAAGTGCAATATAAAACTAATGATCATAGTTAAAGTTGCATAATAAAAAGTACTAGTTGAAGAGAAATGTAAAACCAATAATCGTAATTCGAGATCCAATGTGAAAAATGTGGGATCACATAAGACATAAGCATAGTTGAAGGGGCTAAAATATGATTTATCCAATTAGTTGTAATATGTGCCGAATGGCAAACTTTGGGGTTTTCTACTTTGCTCCTACGTTACTTTTGCTTACACATGCAAAACTTGAGTTGCATTAAACTTGACTTCCTTAGGCTGTGTGCTTAATTATTGTTGATGTGCGCGATGATTTTTTTGCACAATAAATGAATAAAAATAGATTTCTCTTTAGTGAATTCGTGTTTATCTCGAAAGTCGACGATCCGGTGACAAAGAGAGGAGAAGCGGGACCTAAGGAGTGGTGATGAATTACTTTTGGAGCTCTCCGATCGATCCCGGAGCATCGTTGAAGCTTCCTGGCACTCAAAATAGAGGATAGAAGGGCGTTAGAATATTTTTCGGCATATCCCTTCCGACGGTCTAGTCAATTTTATGAAAAAGAGAGTAGGAAAAGCAGTGTATATTATGAGGAGTGATTTTATGTACCTTTTCTTTGAGTTTTTGAAAACTATTTATACCTTCTACGAAGGTCATCATTACTAACTAGTAGGTAGCAGGCGATGCTCAATCATTGGTCAGTGCACCCTCCATTTTGTAGGGACTGAGTTTAAATATTAAATACTTGACCTTCCGAGCACTTAATACCCTTCCTCCTTGGCCCACGAGTATTTAATGCTCTTTCTTCAATGCATAGTCATTAAATGCTCAGATTATGGAACATTCAATGTTCCTTCTCCTAGGCTTATTAAGTCACCCTGGACGTTATATCCTCATGGGGGATTTATTAAATGCTTTTCTAGGATGACTACAAGTCAACAGGGGTATTTCTGTCAATTTACCCTTAATCCTGCACATCATGCCACATGTCCAACTCCTCTTGGTTGTTGGTCTCGTTCACTCTACCACTCTAACTTCACGGGGAAGACAAACCAATA